ACTACTAAAATGCTGGTTTTGTTTCTGATTTTGATTTAATTGAACAATCCATTTAAGTGGAAGAAATGCAGCTGAACTTAAGCACTTCACTTGACTGGAGTCCTTTTTCACTATGTGTCAAATTAATTTCAGAGTTTTGCATTAATAATAATCTTAACCTTGATGTTAAGAATATGGTTAGGAGTGGAAGACAACAGAAAAACTATGTTAAGTAGTATTTAAAATGTGTACCCTTATTTGTATGTAAATTTAGGTATGTTAATTATTAAGATATGTTAATTGGATACTCACTGTGCCCATCAAATTTGATAAAGGTTGGAATAAGTTGTTTAAAATTTGTGTAGAAAAACCGTACTTAGTAAATGATTAACTTATTAGAAGAGACCGATTAACTTAATATTCAGCTGATATGTAAATGAAAATTAGAATTGAATTTTCATTTAGATGAAATGTTAAAACCAATTATATATTCAAATTAGTTATTGGAACTGTTTTTGAAGTTATATCCTGGGATCAAAAAAGGCAACACAACTTCATATAAAGGAAAGTTTAAGTTGATGCCAAAGTAGAGCAAGAAAAATAGATTATTTGAATCAGTTGTATAACATTTAAAAAGCCAGGCAGAATGTTATCTGATTTTTTTAAATGTAAAACTTGTGTTTACAGTTAATTTTTTTTTTTTATGTCATGGGAACAGCTACAACTTCAATAAGGATACTTGCTTTCAATTTTGGTGCCAGTTGAACAGATCAAGTATTACAAAAGCTTAAGTCTCATCTGTGCTACAAAGTGTGAATAGCAACCATTTCCTGTCAACTCAGAGGACAGACTTTAAAAAAAATAATTTTTCTGCAGTGTTAGTGGTATTTAAACTCAGAAAACTTTACCCACTTTACCACCAGCTGTGAGTTTTGAAGTTAACAAGTATATTACCACTTTTAAAAAGATCATCCCACAATTATGTGGTGCAAATTTTAGTTAATAGCTCTGTAGTGAACCAACAAAACAAGTGACTGGAACTGACCAAAGAATTCCCTTTCTGGTGTGTGTTCTGGAAGAG